TGCTGTGAGGTTTTAAGGGGGACCTCAAAGACAGACGTGATGAAGATTAGAGGGCCTCATGAGGGTGGCCCCTTAATGGCACTAGTGGCTTAGAAGAGAAAGAGAGAGCAACTGAGCTGGGCATGATGCTGCATGCCTATAATCTCCTCACCCCAGGAGGCTGAGGCAGAAGGATGGCAAATTCAAGCTCAGCCTGGACAATTTAGTCATTTAACAAGAACCTGTCTCAAAAATATATACATACAGAGGACTGGGGATGTTGCCCAGCATAACATCCTGGGTTCAATGTCTAGTCCAGAAAAAAAAAAAAAAGAAAAGAAAAGAGACTCGCCCAGGGGGGCAAGCTTGCTTCATCTTGCCATATGGTACCAAGCCAGCTCTCAACTCTACAGAATCTCCATCAAGCATGGCCCACGATCTCAAACTTGTAGGGCCCCAATCGGAATAAACTGCGTTCTTTCACAATTGCCCAGCCTGTAATCTTCGGTTATGGAAATGGACATGGGCCAAGATTCGCCATACTGTCTTTGGCCCACAAGCATCCTAGAGGCAGGATCTTCATCATGGAAATGAGAGGCTTTAGGAGAAACTGTCTCCCAGTGCTCCCATCTAGCTGTGCAAACTGTCTGCTTCTGTTTTTGCTTTTTTCTTTTGAAGACAAAATCTTGCTATGTAGCCCACACCAGGCTCTGACTTATGATCCTCCTGCCTCAGTCCCCCAAATTAAGGGATAACAGTCATGTGCTACCATGTTTAGCTAGGCTTTACAAATTGTGGTGGAGGATCCTAGCTTGGTGTCCAAATGAGGGTGTTTCTGAAAATTCCCTACCTCCTTCCATGGACCACACTGGCACAGAGGGCTCTGAAACAAGGAATTCCAGGCTGGGGAACTCCAAAAGGCCTGGAAGCCACCCCAAAGTCACCTCCCATGTCACCTAAATTTCACAGCACTAATGGGACCCTGAGGCCACATATGGTCAGGAGAAAACCTGACCCATGTTAGGGTGACCGTAAATCAGGCAAACTTGCTGCAGACTCCCATGAGCCTTGGGGGACCCAGTTATACCCTCTGGCCCCTAACAGTCTCCTGCTCAGAGGCAGCAGCTGTAGGGCTGCAAGATGACCTCAGCCCAGGGTATGCCTCACATGAGCAGCTCCCTGCCGAAGCATACCCCAAGTGCTGCGTTGTCCTATCTGAAACCCAAATTTAACCAGGCGTCCTTATTTTCATTTGCTAAATCTGGCAACTCAGAGCAGGTGGTCCTGAAGGAGTGGGACATGTGGACCTGCAAAGAGCTCTGGGACAGCCAGACCCAGAGGCTGAGAGGAAGGCATCAGGCAGGAGAGTTCTGCTCCCTGCCATGGCACCCCAAGAGCACCCCAAGTCTGTGCATGGAAAAAGTGCAGGACAAGTGTCATCTTGACTGAGAACCCACCACACTCAGGGAGCCATGAAGCTAAACCACCATCAGTCCTAGAGACCCAGAGGAAAGGGAGTAGGTCCCAGGACCAGAAGTCTTACATGAGGGAGATAGAGTCGGGGTATCAGCCAGGGAGGGAAGAAACTGCTACAGCAGTGGGGCTTCCCACAAAGCTCTCTGTCCTCCAAACCCACAATGCCTACCTCTATAGCCGAGGGACATCTAGGCTTGGAACTTCTGGAAGAGCCAGGAGTGGTGGCACAGACCTGTCGAGGCAGAAGGACTACCAAGTTCCAGCTCAGACAGGGCACCTCACTGCCTCACAGACTTAGTGAGACTTCGTATTGGAAAATAAAAAGGGTAGTGTCTACCTGACAAGTGCAAGGTCCTGAATTCAGTTTCTCATACAAAACAACAATAAAAAAACAAAAACAAAAGAGAAAGAAAGAAAGAAAAGCGAGGATTTAGCTCCACGCGAAGACACTGGGTTCCATCCCTGGTACTGCAATCACAAAACAAAACTCCAAAAAATGGCAAGGAAATCATGGGTGCAGCAGCCCTTCTAGAGAGCGTGGAGCCAGCCGGGGAACAACTCTGCTGCTTGGAGGGTCTGCTCAGGGATACTGGCCTGCCTCCTACCAAATCCCAACATCTATTTCTGAAACCTGGACGGCCCAGCCACCAAGTGCAGGCCCCCTCCCATAGTCTCCCCTCCTCCACCTGCCTCTGGGGGTCCCTCCTGTCTCCCTGTGGGTGCCAGGCCTTCTTGGAAACCTCTTTTCAAGCCCGAATCCAGCATGCGTTTCCCTGTCAGTCTTGCACCCCAGGGACCCCTGGAAGCCCCCACAAGCTCCACTGACCTGTGTCCCCAGACACAAGGAAAAGGGATGGGATGTGATTCACAAAGCAGAGCCTCATGCATGGGTTTTGGGGAAACAAAGGTGGGTGTGATAGGGCGGAAGAGTGGGGATTGGGAAGGAGGGAAGAAGGGACTCAGGGAGAGCTGGGTCTCATTCATTCATTAATGCAGGCATGCAGTCATTCAACAGGCGCTGGGGTAATCACCTGCACCCTACCCGCATCCAGAACAGAGATGAGAGCAACTAACTGCGATCAGTGTTGGGACAGAGTAAGGACAGACAAGACATCATGGGGACACAGGCGGTCCTCTGATCAGCCCTGGGGACAAGGAAGGCTTCAGCCTGAGGACAGCAAAGCCATGCCATGGCCGGAAGGTGGAAAGGGAAGGGTAAATGCCTAGCTTGTTCCCTCTTCTAGTCAGGCAGGGCCATTAAAGGGGGCCCCATTACCATTTAGGGAGGGGTGGGAAGAGCCCCTGTGGGAGTGGGACAGTGAGAGAGGGGTAAGTGCAGGGATGGGCTGGGAGGAAGCAAGGCCACCCCGTACAGTGCTGACCAAGGTACAGCCCGGCAGAGACAAACTCCAGATGAGGCAGCACTGGGAGACAATGTCTGTGGTTCCAAGGTCATGTTTAAGACATGAATGCCCCAAACCCTTCGCCCAACAGATCACCCTGAGATGCTTGGTTAGGGTTTCCAAGAGTGGGTGTCACCAAACTGTGCACACCCAGGGGTTTCTGCCCACAGCAGGCACAGCTGCCTCTGAGACCCCTGTCATTATGGCTGCCTTTGGGATTATTCCCAAGACTGCCACCGTGTCACAGGCCAGCTGGGCCCCTGGGAACCTGCTTTAAATGAACAGACAAAAATTATGGGACAAGCATGCTGCCAGTGAATGACCATTCTCTGAGCACCCCGAGGACCATTTTCTTAAGGAGGTTAAGTGTGGCCCAACTACACTGTCTCCTTGAGACCCACTGCCCCACCTCTAAGAACCTTGAGTTCTCTGCTATTTCCTGAGAGCAGGTGGTACACTGTGGAGTCTTGGCCCTTCCTGCACTCCTGTGCCAGGTTCCTCTGGGACCCTCTGAGTTGGAACTGCCAATTTCTAGGTCACCCTTCAAGCTGGCTGCAGAACAGGATGCCCAGAAGCACTGGGTTTGAAACTGCCACCTCAGGCCCAGGCCTGTCCCCAGGTCTGCCACAGATGCCTTCGAGGCCAAAGTCAAGCTCACACACTCCTGGGCCCCAAACAGGTGATCCCTGATAGCCCCCTGATGGCCCCAGCTCCCTGCCAGCCAGCTTCCCATTTCATGCTCCTGGTCCAACTATGGAATAAATAATCGATGCCCAGTGCCCTCTCTCTGGGAATGACACTGCTGAAATAAAAGCGCTGTTTGCAGGCCTCTCCCAAGCCCCAACCTCCAAGAGCCAGCATCCCTGGCAACAGGGCAACTGAACACGTAGAGAGGCCAGCGGTAACCACAGGCAGCCAGGGTGGCGCTGGCCACCCTTCCCCTCTACCCTGCTCCACCAGTGGCCCTTCTCAGAGAGCTGTGGAGCCTGCCCTCCCGGCCCAGGGCACTCATGGCACCCCGCAGGCACAATGCCACCCACGTGCCCAGCTGGAAGACCCCACCTCCCTGGCTCCCTCCACTGAGCCCTGACAGGGACACAGGAGTCCCTGACCACGTCTGGTCCTGATAGGCCGGGTCACTAAGGCAGACACCAGAGCCTGAGTCCCTGTGGCTCAGCCAGGAGGGCATAACTCAGCCCCACAGCGTCTACAGCCTGGGCCCAGCCCAGGGCACCCACTCCCTCCTGAGCGGCCAGCGGCAAGCTAATGTCCAGCCTTCATCCCAGGGACCCCGAGGGAGTGGGGGTGCCCATGAAGCTCCCAACCCCGCCCTCCTTCTCTCCGCCCATCTGCACAACTCAGAGACCACCCACAGCTTCCCTAACTTGTTCCTCTGAACCTTCACCCAACGCTCTTCTGAGTGTGCCCCCAACTCCGGACTCAGTCCTAACGATCCAAGGTGCGGGGCAGTGTGGGACTCCACCTGTGAGTGGGGGAGCAGGCAGCCCGAGGATGGGGCGCTGGGAGCGCGGCCTTCCCAACCCCCCCTTCCCAGCCTGCAAGGAAACGCACTGACCTCATTTGCCCACTGCAGCAGCCTGCGGGTGCCGGCCCGGGGTGCCCCTCATCTCCGGCCCCGGTTGGGGGAGATAAAGGGGGTGACAGCTCTCGACTCCCGCCCCCTCCCCACAGGTGGGGGGCGTCCGCGCGTCAGTCCGCCCGTTCTCTCCCCGGCCCCGAATTCTAATCCCGGTCACGTGCCTCCCCCGTGCACCCAAAAGCCGGACCCAGATTCGGGAACACCTTGAGAGGGAGGCGCGGGTGGGGGTGGGGAGCAGGGGTGGGGGAAGCAGGGCCCGGGCGCCCGCCCCCCTCAAAAGTTTCTCCTACCTTGAAGGATCCCCAAGCGCTCCTGCCAGCTGCGCCCCGGCCCGGCCGGCGGCCAGGACGCGCAGCCTCCTGCCTCTGCCTCCCTAATTAATCCGGAGAATGGGGAAGGCGCGGCGGCGGCGCGGCGGCGGGAGGAGGAGGCGGCGCGGGCGGGCGTGGGGCGCGGGGAGGGGCGCGGGGCGCCGGCCGGGGGCTGCAGGGTGTGGGGCCCCCACCCCCGGAGCGGGCTGCGGCGGTGGCGGCGAGGGCGGGGCGCGGGGCGCGGGCGCGAGCGGCGCGCGGGGAGGCTCTTTGTTCTGTAATCCCAGTAAGATTGCCAGCCATTCGCCCCGGCCCTAATCCCAGCCCCGCGCAACACCACCCTCCATTGGCTGCCATTTACATACGGGATTAGCCCGCCCGCCCCGCGCCCAGCGCCCCGGCCCGGGCACCGCGCACCCCCCTTCTCTCCCCGGCCAGGCCTGCGAGACGGCGCCCTGAAGCTCCGGGCGCCAGGTTAGAGAGCTCTCCCCGAAACCGGGGGCGCAGCAGGGTGGGAGGGTCAAGGTCACCCGGGGAAGAATCCTAAAGCGGGAGGGGGGACCCGGGAGAGGCCGATCTGTTCCACTGGGCACCCACTCGTACCGGGCCCGAGTTGGTCTGCGTCTCTCTTGAGCTTTGTCTCCCGGGACGTGGCATGCCCAAGGTCGTAGCAGACGGCCTGTATTTTTCTGCCCAGCAATCCTTCTGATCCCCACGCATTCTTTTACAGCCCCCACCCCATACCAGTGATTTAGGGAGCATAAATTTTGGGAGCACATGCCGCCCCTTCTGCCCCAAGCCCCTACATCCTAATCAGCACAGGAAGTCTGATTTTCCCTGGCAGGGCCGCGAGTCCTGGGCTGGGCCTCCGCTAAGCATATGGTGGGGACACAGCCCACCAGATCCTTGTCCTAGGGAGCTCCAGGCCCAGAAGGGTGATCAGGGGAGACTGCGGATGTGGGGAACCTAACTTGGCCCACCAGACTCCTCGTGGCCTCCTGGGTATACAGTAGGCCCTGCAGAGTTAACTTGGGCACCCAGGATCCCCCATGGTCCAGAGGACTCCTTCCTCCTGGCAGCCAGAGGCCCTGTGCCCTGGGAGGGTGCTGCACAGAGGTGCAGGGTCAGGGTTGAGACCTCTTAAAGACCCCCTCTGTGCAGACTTGCAGAGTCATAGCACCACTGCCCCATGTTGGCCTAGGCTATTGAGTTCAGATTGTAGGTCTTCCTCTTCCCGCCTGCTGTAAATTTAGGATCTCACTTCTCTGAGCTTCCTCTTTTGCCTACCCTCAGTGTCTCAGTCACAGTGTGACCTCCGAAGGGGATAATGCTGGCATCTGATGGGTGCTGGGCATCTGCCTGCTGGGCATGGTGGTGCATGCCTGTAATCCCAGTGCTTGGAGAGGCTGAGGCAGAAGGATCCTGCATAGGAACCCAGTCAGGGCAATTAGTAATTTGGTAAAACTCTATCTCAAAATTAAAATGAAGTAAAAGGGGCTGGGAAAACAGCTCAGTGCAAAACCTCTGGGTTCAACACCCAATACTGCAAAATATACACAATTAATTTAAAAACCTCGGCCTCACTCCTTCCTTGCAGGCCTGGTACTCTGGGTCCCTCGCTCAGACACACAGTCTGTTCTGGCTGCTGTAGGCACTGGCTCTGTAGCCCTGCTGCCCCTGATTATGGTGTCTTGCTCTCTCTGTGCTGGCCCAGGAGGGGCCAGCCTAAAGCATGGCCTTGGGTGAGCCTCTCTGGAGGATGCCAGTCCCTAGAAGGATTGTCGGGGCACCTAGTGTGCTGGCAGAACCTCTGTCACCCAAGTCCTCAGGCCTGGAGGCTTGGAGGCCTGCTGAGGCCACAGCACCAGTGTGTGTGCTCAGCGCTGCCCTCTGCAGGCGGAATTTGGCACGGCGCGGCTGGGAGCTGGATGAGGGAGGGATGCTGCCCTCCCTCTGGCCTCCGAGTTAATCTTGCTTCCCAGGAGTGCCTGACGGCCAGCCTGACTCCGCCGCACCCAGGAAGCAGTTGGTACAATTGAAGCAGGAGCCTGGCTTCATGAAGGAGCTGTGGTGCACACCTGTAACCCCAGCACTAAGGGAGGCTGAGTTTAACCCAACTTGGGCAATTTAGCGATTTAGCAAGACCCTACCTCAAAATAACACATAAAAAGGCCTGGGAATATAGCTCAGTGTGAAGGTACTGGGTTTAATCCCCCGTATTTCAAAAAATAAAAAAAATCATTAATACATTTTATTTAACCTCCTATACCTTTTTTTTTTTTTTTGTACCAGGGATCAAACTCATGACCTTGTGCTTGCCAGGCAGGCACTTATGCTGCTGAACCAACTCCCCAGCCCAATCTGCTATAGCTAAAACTTTGTCATTTTAACATATAGTAAAATTGAGATATTTCATATTCTTTTTCGTGTGCTAAGAAATCCAGGAGTTTTAGTTTTATTTTGCATTTTGAGGCAGCATTTTGCTATGCAGTTAAACTGGCCTTGAACTTCCTATGTAGCCCAGGCTGGTCTCAAACCTGCCATGATTCTCCTGTTTCAGCTTCCTGAGTGCTGGAATTGTAGGTGTACACCACCACACTCAGCTCTAGGATTTATTTCACATACGCAGAGTATCTCCATTTCTTCTTTTTTCTTTAAAAACATTTCATTTAAGTATTTTTTTGCAGTATCAGGAATTGAATGTAGGCCCTTTTCAATGGGCTACCCCTGCAGCCATTTTTTATTTTTGTGTTTACCCAGGCTCTCACTAAATTTCCCAGGCTGATTCAAATTTGAGATTCTCCTGCCTCAGTCTCCCAGGGTTCTGGGATTGCAGGCACACACCGCTATGCCCAGCTTATGTATTCTTAAAGCTACAAGCCCCTTTTTTCCCCAGTGAATTCATGTAGACGTTCAGTTCATGCAAGAGATGAGCCTGGAATTTCCTCTGAAGAAGCAGGAATACCTCAAGAGCTGTCTGCTTCAGGACACCCCTCCTCCATTGAGAGGCAGCCTTACACTGGCATCTGTACTGAAAAATCATAATAATGATGATTCTAGCATCCATTCAGTGCTTGTTCTAACTCAGGCATGATGCTCATGTCCTACCGGTATTATCTCAACTAATTCCCAGTGAGGGGATAGTGGTTGTCCGTGGCTGTAACTAAATACCTGAGACAGTTAACTTACAAGGAGTAGAGCTTTGTTTGGGCTCAAGGTTTTGGAAGCCCTGGTCTACAATCAAAGGTTCCTGGGGCTTTATGCCTGGTGTGGCAGGGGCAGGTGGGGGAGCAAATCTACTTGCCTCAGAGCCAGGAAACAAAGGAGATATAAGAAAGGATAGGGTCACATAGTCCTCTTCAAGCATGTGTCCCCAGTGACCTGAAAACTCTCACATATCGGCTGTGGTGGTAAACGGCTGTACTCCCAGCACTCTGGGAGGCTGAGGCAGGAGGATCCACAAGTTAAAGCCCAGTCGGGGCAGTCTAGAACTTTGGCAGGCTCTGTCTCAAAATTTAAATGTTTTAAAAGGGCAAGGGTGGGGATCAGGGATATAGCTCAGTGGCACAGCACCTGCCTGGCAAGTGGGAGGTCCTGAGTTTAAGTCTCAGATGTTGAGAACTATTGAAGCTGGAGACTGACCTAGGATGTGACCCAGATATAACCCTATCAAAACAGCAAAGAGCACTTGGTCAGCCACAGGAAGACATTGCTACAGCCCAGAAGAATACCACAACTCTAGATAATCCAAGCCATGGGTTGCTAGGCAGAGGGCTGAAATTGACATTGTCCTTCCCAGTGTATAAATAAACATACTGGGCTGGGGATTTAGCTCAGAGGCATAAGCACCTGCCTGGCAAGTGCAAGATTATAAGTTTGATCTCTGATACCAAAAGACAAAAAACTCAACAACAACAACAAAATGCTGCACTGGTTGAGCAGTGCCTTTGTTCCCGTTAGAAGAGTAAGTGCTCCACCTGACCCCGGCTTTGTTTTTCTTTATTTTTTCTCATCCTCTCAGTGTCCTTCACCCCAAGAACCTCTGGAGCCTCATGGGTCATGGCCCTCAGTACCACAGAGAGAGGAAAAAAAAAAGAAAAAAAGAAAAGAAAAGGCCTGGAGATGTTGTGCTGTGTGAAGGGCCTGGGTTTAATCCCTAACACCACCCTCACTCCCCAAAAAACCTCTAAAAAGTGCTTATTTACTTTTGCAGTCCTGGGGGGATGGGAATCTAGAAGCATTCCAACACCAAGCTACTGTCCCTAGCCTTATTTCATTCCAGAACAGGATTTCGTTGAGTTGCCCAGGCTAGCCTTGAACTTGTGGTTCTCCTGGCCCCAGCTTTACAGTCCCTGTGTTAAGGAGTGGGTCTACCCTGGGAGAGCTCTGGGGGAGAGCCCTTACCTTGTTTGCACAGACCTGGCCTCCAAATAACATAGATGCAGATTTAGTGGGGTTTCAGAGTCCACCCAGAGAAGAAGCAGCCCCAGAGGATCTGGGGTCTGGCACCCTCGGAGACCCAGCACCCCAACTGGTACTGGGGCCAAGGATCAGGTAGGAGCACAGAACCAGCACTGCCTTGCACCTCCTCTTCTTCTGCTGCTGCTATGTCTGGGCTCTCCAGCCTCCCCTTGGGGTTCCCTGCAGCCCCCCACTCTGGCATGAACCAGAAAATGACTGCTCTGCTAGGTGAATTTAGGTACAAATTAGTGAAGACTTAGAACAACTTCAAAGCTAGAGGACAAGAGACAGGAAAAGTGTGGTGGATTGGTAACTGGTGGTCAACTTAAACGCCGGCTGAACTGAGTCAGGTGGGGTGGAGTGTGGATGGGCCACCTGAGGACTGCGGCCAGCATGAAAACGAGACCCGGAGAGGAACGGTAGTGCTGTGGGTTCCCCTAAGTGCTGTTGTTTGGAGCCATTGGTTCCCCTGGAGGAACTTGTCACATTGGCTCCCCTGATATGAACTTGGCTGTTATTATCAGAGGAGCCCAGGATCTTGTTGCTGAGAATGACTGCAGTTCACTTTGGGGGAGCTTTGGTCCGTCCTTTGAGCATTGCTTTCTGGCCCCAGAGGGGGACATGTGAGCTGTTTAATCTCCAGGAGAAGCTTGTCACGCTGACTTCCTGCTATGCACTCAGTTGTTCTCATCACTGGAGCAGCTCAGGACCTCATTGTCACTGAGGATGCCTGTGGTACTTTCCAGGGGAGCCCTGGTCCTTAGTTTGAGCATCGCTTCTTGGCTCCAGTACAGAACTCTCGGACTTCTGGCACAGATCCTTTACTCTGCTGGCACAGACTTTCTAGCTTCTATCACTGACCTTTGGACCTTCCCAGCAAAGATCTGTGGGGCCTGACTTGCATGCGTCATTATCATGGGCTCTGAGTTTTCAGCTGGACTCATGCAGGTGATTGCCATGGGATCTGAACTCTTGGTTGGATTTTCTAGGTGTTTAGTTTTGTGGACAGATTT